GCTTATCTTCGGCTCCTAAAACCCTTGAGCGTGAACAATCAACACGATTCAGCAAGTGTTGATTGCATTCCGTAGGTGCTTCAGTCTGTCCCATTCGGCGTCGTGCTGCATTTACTGATGGACACAACGTATGCTACTGACCTTGTGGACGTTACTGGTCGGCGCACCCGCTTTCGTGGTGGATTGTCTCCTTACGGCCAACTTGTCTCACAGGCGTATCCGACGGGAGACCCCTAGTTGCCGGTTTAAAATGGAACACCGCGTGCGGCCTATCTTTGCCTTGGAATCTCTTCAACGACCACACGGGGAAATATGACCGTGAGTAGAGGAAACTCGCTTTCCTCATGGCAGGAGAAACGTTTTTGGGATCCACTGGGAAAATAGACATTCTGTGTACATCTGGAATGATTGAGTCGTTAAGATCTGTTCAAAGAGCTCTTTGCGACTCTATGAGCTGACATAGCTGATTGCCCGATCATCATGGTCGCACGCATGCGCATAGTAAATATCCCAGCCGTCCGCGACCAATTGATAACTGATAGTGCAAGTCGAGTTAATTCCAGAAATGACTGAGAGAGCTCGTCATCTTCCCTTACTCGAATATTAGCTCTCGCAACTGCCAAGGCACATCATTGGCTATTCCACAGGTGCTACGCCCAACGATGCCTGTTGGACCTCACAAGAGAGCATCCAGGTTGGAGCTAGACCTAAGCATAATGGTTCCACCGTTCTAGAAGTCGACCTTTCAGCACTGAGACGAGCTCCCAACACGGTGGGATAGCGCTCTCATAGGCTTCATATTGATCATCAGTTCGTTCCTCTGGCAGAGAGAATGTACAGCATTTATGAGGAGACCACATTCCATCGCGTTCTGCTTGTCTGCGAGTGACCATGGACAAACGGCTCTAGAGATGATGCTCTCCAATCATCCTATTGACACCGATGTCGGCCAAGAGCACTTCTTTTCGTCATTCTATCCACCTCAGCAGTTATTCGTGCTTCTAGGCGGCCAACATTCTCGCTCCATCACAGAGAAGTTCCCATCACGGTCTTCTCACTTGGTCATGGTGGAGAGCCGTCCAATCCTTGGTTAAGACCGGTCAACGACGTCCCACTGTGGCGGACGTACTAACTTGAACTGCCGCCCTTATGCAGTTCCTTGTCAGGTCCATAAGCGAATTAACGAAGTCATCGAGGTGGTGAAGGCGAACCATTGCCCGAAATGTGACCAGAAGTGCATCCTCACTTATGCTAAGCCGTGTAGCGCTCCTAGTGATTCGACCTACTGCTAAGTGTCTCATGTCTTGCCCCTTGTCATTCATGTATTCGTTTTTGTTGATTTACCTTACATACTAGGGGAGTCACTAGAAACCGTGGAAGGTGTATCTGGGTGCAGCAGCGAACAACTCACAACTTGGAACAAAACACTGCATAAATCGTCAAAATTGAGGAATTTGTGCTATAAAAGCTGCCTGAAATCGAGTAAGTATACAGTCGAGCTCCTCATAACATATAGGTGCTCATTTACTATAAAATTGTTTATTAAAAAAGGCTGATTATCACAGCCGACAGGCTTATGGGCAATAAGGCCACAGTGACGCTGAAAACGAGGACCGATAAGATCCACTTGAAGGGCTTCCTTGCGCCTTTTTCGTACATTGTGATACAGTAAAAGAAAGTTGGCATGATAAAACAGATGGTATTCGAACCCACTATCCCTACGAATGACAAGGTCACTCCTAAACTTTTTACCGTAACAGCAATCGCAGCAGTTACGACAAGAACGAAGCTCGTGAGGGAAACCCTGAGCCAGAACTCGGCCCTCGGGCTGACGGACTTCGCTCGAGTCAATAAAACAGAGAGGGACTTACGAGCAGGGAAGAGTTGTAGAGGGTAAGCAGCCGCCTCGGCAACTCCCAGGAGGAGATATCCGACTTGAACAGCAATGTTGTTGGCTACGTCATAGTTGAGGACGAAATTAGACTTGGTGCTCTCACCAAAAGTAAGGTAGGGAAAAATTATAGCTGGTACGAATAGCACGAGTGCTGCAGCCTCAGAAGCAACAGCTATAATGTCCAGCTTATGTTGTGTACGAGCTCTCAAATCTTCCGCACAGAGGAGTATGTTCTGGTGACACGTGAATGCGAAAATAAACGTCGGAATGACAGAAAAGACCGACGAAAAAGTCGCTGTAGGAGGTAAACCCACACGTGTCACCGCCCCACTATCGAGATTAGCGAGGGCGATCGCAAGGACAACAACATAGGCGATAGCGAGTAGCCCTAGGATGTTGATGATAACTGTCTTAGAGATACTCCTAGCGAAGCATACTGGGGAGACCAGGCAGAGAACACCGAGAATGACGATAGCACGTAGTAGGTCTTTATCGATAGCGTTGTTTGTCCACACACCAATGGCGTATGAAATGGTGTCACCAGACACTTGTATGTAGGAAATACCAACACCCATACATTTAACAGCAATTGCAACGTCAACAATCCATCGGGACCAAGGAGCACACGCCTCAGCAATAGTGAAGAAGGACACGTGTCGGGTTGGCGACCTCATTGCTAGTATGTTCAGAAGATGCAGTGTAAATGATGCTCCCATGGCGGAGAGGATAAGTAGGACGAAGCCAAGCAGCCAACCACACTGGGAGAAGCCGTAGGCCAAAGCCAGCATTCCCGTGCCGATCATAGTTTTGGACAAGGCCGTCCAGCAGGTGAAGACAGTGCCCGATGGGGCATTGACAAAGCGATAAGATGACTTCTCGACGAAAACCCGATTGCCGTCGGACACTTTCACTTCCTCGGTTGGAGGGCACATGGAAAACGTGGAATGCTACCTGAAAACGAGGGACGGACGATTGTAAGACAATACATGACATGCTGAGGACGCGAGGGGTTCCTATAAGGGCAGGCAACTAACTGGTCACGGCCTTAGTGCACGATAGCAGCAGCTTGGGCAGGAGCTCTCGTCCTCATTTGCTGTACATCACAGAATGTCGAGACTATGGTGACACGTGTGTGATACGTCCGATTCCTATGTGACACGCACCTGAGGGTCGGCAGATTATACAGCATTTGGTTCTTTCCTCTAATACTCATTACTACTATACTGCGTCTGACTCCAACGGAGTACTACTACTACTACTACTACTACTACTACTACTACTACTACTACTGCTACTACTACTACTACTACTACTACTACTACTACTACTGGACTATCCCTTGATGGCTTAGCAGACTACTAAGGCCAGACAGTCAACGTCTGCAAGAACAACGGTAAAAGTCCTATCTCGGGGAGCCTATTATCAACGTTATAGACATGTGTGGACTAAATGTATAGTCTACGTCACCAAAGGACAAGTGTTTGAGTTCCCTCAGG